ACAAAAAAAAAAACATGCACAGCTTTACAAAAGACACCAGGAATGTTGCAAGTTATAAACACTGTCTAGCTCTGATCCTACAACCACAGTAAGAAGAGAGGGATATCTATGTCCTTGTAATTCTATGGGCAATTTTGATGAGGAGCAAGAGGTGATGGGATATGTGTTTTTTGTTATAGGAGCAGCTACCTTTCAACAAAACACTTTTATTTCCTGAAGCGGAAAATTCCCCACCGTAGTTCCAGGCCCAGTGACTCTAAGATAACTCATTCAAGTGGTGACACATGTCCGTCATCGATTTCTGACCCTACTGATAATGGTAGGGTGACTTACCCCCTTTGGTTCCTGGCCCAGTGAATCTAAGATAACTCATTCAAGTGTTGTCACATGTCCTTCATCGATTTCTGACCCTACTGAAAGTGGTAGGGTAACTTATCCCCCTTGGGTCCTGGCCCAGTTACTCTAAGTTAACTCATTCAAGTGGTGTCACATGTTCTTCATCGATTTCTGACCCTACTGATAGTGGAAGGGTGACTTACCACTTTTGGTTCCTGGCCCAGTGCCTATAAGATAACTCATTCAAGTGGTGTCACATGTTCTTCATCGATTTCTGACCCTACTTATAGCATTAGGGTAATTTACCCCCCTTGGGTCCTGGCCCAGTGACTCTAAGTTAACTCATTCAAGTGGTGTCAGATGTTCTTCATTGATTTTTGACCCTACTGATAATGGTAGGGTCACTTACCGCCTTTGGTTCCTGGCTCAGTGACTCTAATATAACTCATTCAAGTGGTGACACAAGTCCTTTATTGATTTCTGACCCTACTGATAGTAGTAGGGTCACTCCCCCCCCCCTTGTTTCCTGGCCCAGTGGCATTAAGATAACTTATATCTTCTGACCCTACAGATAAGGAGGTAAGATAGGTATGTTAGGGCTACAAAAACAGATGGGCCTGAGAGCTTATGAGCTTAGGGATTTTCTGTCTACGTCTTTTTTTTGGAAAGGCGTGTTGGGGCAAAGCATATCAGGCGTCTAAGGAGCAGCCTTAAAAACAGGGGCTATCAAAGGAAAAGTAAAATAAATAAATCCTTATAATAACTTAGAACTGCTGATTTTGGTAGGATTATGTGATAATCACCTCATGATCGTCAAAGAGAGCTGTATACTAAAACCGGTAATGTTCTGCTGATACCCTTTTATTTGCAGAGATAATAACCCCACATCACCTGACCAGTGGCAGAAGAACTACAGCCGTTGTTCCGCCAATGAGATCTACCACATACGACTGAGCGAGAGTAAATTCTTTGGAGAATATGAAGGGAAAAGCTTCACATACGCCTCCTTCCACGCCCATAAAAAGTAAGTCCCAATATCCTTCATCTCTGTACCATGGATACAAACTGAAACATTTTTGATAGAAACTAATGATTGTACTAGTTGATGATTGTCCACAATTGAAGGGACCCTATCATGGTCTCCTCTGTTAGTGACATCACCTTCCCAGAAGATGCATGAAGCTAACTCTGTTGATGTTTGCAGTTCAAGACTTTACAGCCCTCTTCTGGGCGAAGATATAGAGGGATTGGTCAACCCTACTACACACATAGCACTAGGTGCTGTGTATTCTTAAAGCAAAACTGTGCTTTGCCCATATCCTCACACCATGTGACAGTGCTGGCCCAATTAGCACTGTCACACAAGGAGTTAGTGGTCTATATTTATAAACTATCCACAGGGCCCTTCACAATGTGAATCATTCGATTTGTGTGGATATCATTCGATTTGTGTGGATACATGCCAAAATGAACATTCTTTAGTTGTTTTAAGTTTATGTAATACCGCATTATGGCCACTAGATGGAGTGGGGGAGCAAGGAAAATAAATACTTATTTCCCAAGCTCCTTTTGCTCCATATAGTGGCCCTGATGCAATATGAAAACATTAAAAAATGCATTGAAGGGAATTTATCAAAACTGGAGCAGACAAAATCTGGAGCAGCTGTGCACGGCAACCAATCAGCCTTTCTCTTTCATCTTTAAATCTTAAGTGAACAAACTGAAGAGAGAAGCTGATTGGTTGCCATGCACAGCTGCTCCAGATTTTGTTGGCTCCAGTTTTGATATATTCCCCCTATTGCATTTGTAAAGTAAATAACTAAAGAATGTTCATTGTGGCATGTATTTGCCCAGAGCCAACGTTCACAGATATTTGATTTTTTGTTGATTGCTGTTTAGAAATAGAGCCTCAAGTTTCATTGTAAGGTGCAAATCTAGGTGCTGGTAACTTAGGCTGCCCATACACCTTGCGATCATCGGACGAAACTTTTCGTCCGATGATCGAACCGTCGTACGATTTTCGTACGGCGGCCCCATTCTGCCCCGAATATCGCAAGGTTCAATCAGCCTGTAGTTAAAAAAAACACTTGGACGAATTGCAGTAATCGACCCCACATATTTTCGTTTGCGCATGAGCAGTGTTAATCGTACGAATTTTGACGTACGGAAACGCCACCAACCTTGCGAAAATCATACGAACGACCGAAGTTTTCTAACCTGCTGGTTAGTCAAAAGTCGATCGATTGTACAGTATTTGCGGTTGTACACTGCCCATCAACCTTACGAATATCGGACGAAAACGCGTTTGCAAATGAAAATCGGCCGATAATCGTAAGGTGTATGAGCAGCTTTACACAGGACTTTATTTTATTACTGGTCGCTGAACAGAGAAGGTTAGTATATGCGTCTGTGGATGCTGCATGAAAGCTAAGTTCCACCTGCTCCCCTATCCCTTTACCCCGCTTACTAATTACTGAGTGCTAAAAGCCCCATTTACTTACCTAAATCTGTGGTCATATGTGACACACTGGGTCCTGAGTCTTCTGCCTTCTTACATTCACATCTGTGGATAGTGGTGCACTTTATTCAGGTGCTCTATATGTACATTGGGGAGCCATCAACAAAAGATGGCAGCGCACCTTAAATCGCATATACTTTACAATGTTTTACTGCTTGTGGCGGTAACACTCTTTAAAACATGGGTCTCATTGTACCTTATTCCAGGCATGTGAACCTAGAATTACAGTTTCCCTGGAAAGGATGCCATGTCCCAGCATATACTACCCTGCTATAACATCAGCATTGTAATAGGAATACATACTGGAGCTGTTTTTGATAATGCAATCAAAGCTTACTTGATAAAATCCCTTTTATATAATGAGTGCTGCCTTCCGTCTGCCCATCACTTCCAACAACTTCCTGTATTCCCAGTGAGCTTTGCGTATCTTTCCCTGCTGCTTCATGTGATGCAATCTTCATTTATCAAGACTACATGTCCCATCATGCATTGTTCCAGCAAGCAATGACAATGTTACTTTGTTCAGATGTGGTAGTTCAGATGGCAGGCTCTGTTAGGCTGGGTTCACACCTGAGCGTATTTTTTCTGCTCGTTTTTATGCTCATTTTTTAGCACGTTTTTCCGTTCAGTGAAACGCGCGTTTCACTGGTGGTATGATTTTTTATTGATTTTTTCCTTTTTTTCTCTTTTAAATTTTTTTTTTCACTTTCAAACTTCCCGCCGGCTCCGCCCCCCTGCGACGCGGCCGCTTGCAAGGGACGGAACCCGGAAGTCTGCAGCCGCCAGAGGACATAGCGGGGATCGCGGACAAGGTAAGACGTGCACGCTGTATTCCCGAGTATGGCTCGGGGTTACCGCTTTGTTAACCCCGATCTACACACGGGAATACCAATGGAAACGCGCGGAAAAACGCCCCAAAGAAGCTCCTGTACTTCTTTGGGCGTAGGGCGTTTTTCAGCGCGTTCCTATGCGCTGAAATACGCCCAGGTGGGAACCATGCCCATAGGAAAGTATGGGATTTCACTTGCTGGGTGTTTTACAGCGCGTCGATCAGCACTGTAAAACGCCCAGGTGTGAACCAGGCCTTAAGGTGCCCATACACCTTACGATTATCGTACGACAATCGTATGCGATCGACTTTTCGTACGACAATCGTAATGTGTGAATAGAGTGCCCGACCGATAGTACTGTACAATCGTACGACTTTTGACGGTCAAGCATGTTTGAAAACTTTGCTAGATCGTACAATGTTCGCATGGTTGGTGGCGTTTCCGTCCGTCAAAAGTCGTACGATTAACACTGCGCATGTGCAAACGAAAATAATTGCGGTCAATTACCGCAAGTCGTCCAGGTGTTTTTTTTAACTACCGCTAATTGGACCTTGCGATAATCGGGGGAAGATGGGGCCGTCGTACGAAAATCGTACGACGGTTCGATCATTGGACGAAAAGTTTTGTCCGATAATCGTAAGGTGTATGGGCACCTTTAGGGTGGTGACACCAGTGCATAATCACAGGGCTGAATAAAATGGTGTCAGTGCAGGAAGGTGGTGAGGAAGTACATCCTATGGGCATCTTCAGTAAGTAAATTTACAAACTGGTTATATTAGGAGTGGACAGTGTCACCCTCAGTCTTTTTTTTTGCCATGCCACTCTGCCTGCCGCCCCTGCACAAGACCCAAAGGAATGCCACCTGAGGCCACAGAGGCTTCAGGCTGCCTCATTAAAGGGATGGCCCTGGGAGTGGGGCTGAAATGATGGAAATTCAATATAGAAATACAGATTTATTTTTACTCCATATATACCCTTTAACTCAGCATTCGGAGAACCCTGTTTTGCAGACAGATTTCTATGGATATAGAAGGAAAATAAATTGGCGTGATTGTGAGTGATCTTAGAATAGCTCTCAGATGACAACAGGAGGAAATAAAAAGGTGAAAGGTTTAATCTTGCTTGAACTGCCTGGATATACCAACTGAACCAAGCTGTGTTAACAGCGCACTTATTTTTTATTAAACATAAACATGTAATAATAAAAAAAATGTATCCACAAGCAAAACCCCTTTAAATGAACCAGCGAATGACGTTTTCTTGTTCTTTAAATAGAACGTATAGAAAAAAAAAAGCTCTGTAAAAGGAAGTTTTTCAGTAATTAAATCCCGTGTTTCTATACGGTATATATAGAACGCGGCAGTGCTTGCAGTCATGTGGGACAAGCTTCACTCTGTACATTTTAATTTGAACATTTGTACACTTGAACATTTGTACATTTTAATTTGCTCAGCTGTTAACACACTAAAGTAGTTGAGGGTGGAGCCCCCTGCTTGGCGCCACAATAGACACAAAAGCGAGGACCACCTACTCAAAGGAAATTACCTGGAGACTCAAATTAGACTTGTCATAATTTCACAATGCGAAACAATCCACGCTTTCTTCTAAAGTTCATACTGCTTGCTTTTATATGAACGTGTGAAATGTGCTTATACGTAACTTTGTAAATTAGGTTTTACCTTCTTTTGTTTGGGGTAAAAAAAAAAAAGAAAACAACTTTAAAAAGTCTCGTTAAAAAAAAATTCTAGAGATTATGGAAGTAATATATTTTTAAAATATATATTATATATACACACCGGCCACTTTAATAGGTACACCTTGCTGGTATCGGGTTGGACCCCCTTTTGCCTTTAGAACTGCCTTAATTCTTCGTGGCATAGATTCAACAAGGTGTTGGAAACATTCCTTTGGTCCATACTGACATGATAGCATCACGCAGTTGCTGCAGATGTGTCGGCTGCACATCCATGATGCAAATCTACCGGGCCACCACATCCCAAAGGTGCTCTATTGGATTGAGATCTGGTGACTGTGGAGGCCATTGGAGTACAGTGAACTCATTGTCATGTTCAAGAAACCAATTTGAGATGATGTGAGCTTTGTGACATGGTGCGTTATCCTGCTGGAAGTAATCATCAGAAAGTGGGTACACCGTAGTCATAAAGGGATGGACATGGTCAGCAGCAATATTCGGGTATTCTGTTGCATTTAAACAATGCTCAATAGATACTAAGGGGCCCAAAGTGTGCCAAGAAAATATCCCCCACACCATTACACCACCACCAGCCTGAATTGTTGATACAAGGCAGGATGGGTCCATGCTTTCATGTTGTTTACGCCAAAATCTGACCCATCTGAATGTCGCAGCAGAAATGGAGACTCATCAGACCAGGCAACATTTTTCCAATCTCCTATTGTCCAATTTTGGTGAGCCTGTAGAAATTGTAGCCTCAGTTTCCTGTTCTTAGCTGACAGTAGTGGCACTCGGTGTGGTCTTCTGCTGCTGTAGCTCATCTGCTTCAAGGTTCAACGTGTTGTGCGTTCAGAGATGGTATTCTGCAGACCTCGGATGTAACGAGTGGTTATTTGAGTTACTGTTGCCTTTCTATCATCTCGAACCAGTCTGCCCATTCTCCTCTGACCTCTGACAATCAGAAGGCATTTTCGTCCATACAACTGAAAATTACCGATAGGTAAGTATACAATTTTCCATTATTAAGCTGCAGGCACTAAGAATTAACTTAAAACATTCCTTCAGAATAAATATAATACACCTGTGTCACACTAGATACTCTGTTGTCCAAATTAGGTGGATCAGTGCTAATAAATAACAATGCAAATAATAACAGATTGTTTGTGTTTTATCTGTCTCCATCCCTCCCCATAGTTCAGGTTTTCCTCTGTATAGATAGCTCCACCATTCTTCATTGTGTTCCAGTCTGCATGTCATCCAGAAGTCTTTTGCTTGTGGAGCACATTATGATCTTTTGACCAATCCTATCTGGGACCAGCCATCTGAAAGCGCTCTTTTATCACATTATCATGGATTATTTGGGACTGTTTGTTATAATTTGCAATGTTATTTAGTAGCACGAATCCACCTAATCTTGATGCAGAGTATCACAGTAATCTTGCACTTGTATTTTAAGTATTGTTTTTCTTTTTCTATCCATAGATTTTGTTTTAGAATTGGAGCAATCAGACATATCCATTGCTCTAAGCTAGAGTGTTCCTACACTTTTCGCCACCTGAGGCAGGGGGGAGTTCTGCTGGTGTGCCAGGG